CAGGATGGCGGCCGGGCAGCGTGGGCAGCTGAGAGCCGGAGGCAGCGTCAGCAGGTGTGGCCTGCGGTCCCCCCGCCCCCCCCGTCCTCTCCCCCTCGAAGGACATGGGCGTAGGGCAACAGGCACCTCACCAGGGCCAGGGGGTCATCTCCAGGGTCTTCGTGGCATCTGTGGCGTCCAACACGGCCATGCCCCACGGATGGGGGCACCAAGGGGGTTCCCCAGCCCATGGTGCCCCCAGGAGCCCATCAGAGCCCCCCCAGGAGGCTCCAGAGAGCCTCAAACCTCAAGCCTGGCCCCACTCCCTCGCACCTGCCTCTGGCCCTGCCGTCTCCTACTCAGCCGACCCAGGGGACCAGGCCCGCCGCCTCTCCGGCAGGTGAGCGAGACCCCGAGTCCGACCCGGCGGCCCGAGCAGAGCGTCCCGGGAACCTCCCTAGGCAGGCAGGGCCCGAAGCGGGGCAGCACGGTCGCGGGGTGAGGGGGCTGCTGTCTGCAGTGAGGCGGCAGCCGAGTCTCCTCAGGTCCAGGAGCAGCAGGAAGGCCGAGGGGGCTGAGGGCGGCTCCGGGCAGGGCACAGGCGCCACCCCTCGGGGGTGCCGCCCCCAGACCCAGCGCTGAGCACGGCGTGAGGCGCCCCTTGGCCCGCAGGAGCCCGGCTGGGGGACCCTCACAGCTGCGCTGTTCCGGGGCGCGGGGCACCGCGTCCTGGCCCCAAACCCAGCAGCTCCAGCTCCGCCCCTGCCAGCAGCCTGGCCCGCTCCGCCTCTTCCAGGGGGTCTCCTGTCCTGTGACCTCCGCCTGCGTGTTCTCCACAGACCAGCGAGGCCGCAAGTTAGGCCAATCGTGGCCGCGCTGTTCTCCAGACCCGTCAGAACAAGCCCTGCGTCCTGCGACCTCTCCTGCCGCCCGCCACCCGCCAGTGCTGGCTCCTGCCCACGGTCAGCTCATGGTAACGCCTGCCGCGCCCATTTGGCTCAGGGCTGACCCCCCCCGTCGGGCGCTGGGCCTGCACAGGGCTGTGCTCGGGGCCTGTGGGTCCAGACGGGCAGGGACAGGCAGGAGGGGCCGGCGGGAGGGACAGGCGGGGCGGCCAGCAGGGACAGGCAGGAGGGGCTTTAGGCCTCCACCTGCAGCAGCTGCGGCCTGGCCCCCGGCAGCCCCCAGGTGAGGAGCAGACGGGGTCGACCTCGGCAATCTGGGGCGCGCCGTTGTCAAGATTTGTCATCTCAGAAGGAGAAGAGGTTTTAACTTGAAAGAAGAGAAGTAGGCTGCCTCTATGTGGGACACTCGCTGGAAGCTCAGCGGCACCCACTTCCTTCCCTCCTTCCTGCTGGACCCAGGGCGCCCCGGCGCCACGGCAACCCGCCCACACGGTGCTCAACAGCTGGGGGGGCGGGTGGAGGAGCCCAGGCCACCCAGGCCGGCTCCACCTGCCGAGCCCTGTCCGGGCTGAGCTGGCAGTGGGGAGGAGAAGGCCCGGCCAGACGGCCCGCTGTGGCCCTGGCACTGGGATGGGCCTGGGGCAGAGGCCAGATCAGGGGACACGCTCGGCCTCTAGCTGGACCCTGCTGCACCCAGCTGGGCGACGGCCCTAACGGCCACTTCACGGGCCTCCTCGGGAGTCCCCTCTGGGGACGCGGCGCCTCGCAGGGAGGCCTGGGATGCGGGGGCTCGGAGGCCACGGCCAGACCCCACTCCTGGGGCCCAGCTGGGAGCAGGCGCCCCCCAGCCACTGGACCCTGCTGGCCAGTGGCTGCGAGGCAGGTGGAGGGGGAGGACGTGGTGGGGCGCAGGGCGTCGCTGCACATGCAGGAACCCCAGCTTGGAGGAAGTGGGTCCAGAGGACAAGAACAGGAGGGAAAGCAAAGCAGCCTGGGCGGGGCGGGGCGGGGGGGAGGGGGGGCGGCTCCTTCCTGCCACCTGGAGGGCACCGGCTGAAAGGGACGCGGGTCCCCACTCTGGTTTTCCGGCAGGGTCTGGACACGTCCCTCCTGGGAGGGAGGGAGAGCAGCTTTGGGGGGGCCCAGGAAGGATGGGCCACTCTGTCCTCAGGCCATCCTGCCGGGCCCAAGCCCAGGGGCAGCAGCTGCCTGGAGTCCCGGGCCCTACCCTCCGCCCTTCTCCCCATGCAGTGGCCCAAAACCACCGGCCACCTCCGCCGTCAGGCCCCCACAGCCAGAGCCGGGGGACCCGCCCCCCACGATGTTCCACTCACACAGCCCAGGGCCCACCTGGACCCCGAGGGGACACTGCTGATCTGGGGCATCGCCTGGAGGACAGGGCAGGGGCCAGGATGGCACGGAGGCGCCTACGCTTCCGCCCAAGAGCCCAGCACGGCTGCGCCGTGTCCACGGTGCCGTTTGCCCTGATGTACCAAGGGACACGCGACCTCCCAGCAGCAGCGTCCCCGCCGGGAGCTGCCCGGTCCCGGTGTGTGGACGCTGCCGCAGGCCTGCTTTGGCGTGATGCCCGGGCACCACGTGTCCAGGTGATAAAAGCCTGGACACCTCACGACCATGCAGGTCCAGCCACGCTGGCCCCTGGCCTGACCTCACTCAGCCTAAAACCTGTGGGCACCTCAGCTCATGACCGAGTGTTCAGGTCTGCGGGGACACCGCCCGCGGCCCCTCCCCACCCCCGTTGTGTCGGTCAGACCCGTCCGAGGCCCCGCTCGGTCCAGCGCCTCAGAGAACCGGCTCTGCCATCTGCCCTGGCCCCGGGGTCGTGGCCCGCAGGCCGTGTCCACCACCGCCTGTCCCGCGCCCGGAGCAGGTCCTCGGACGTCTGCCGCGAGCAGCCGCCTCCCCGTGCCTGAAAGCATCGCGACGCGCGCCGTCAGCGGGACCCGCCAGGGGATCTTCCGTCTGGCCACTCGGGCAGCGGTGCCGGCGCCAGGTCCCCTGTGCATGAAGTGGGCCCCCCCCGGACACGCCGGGCTCGGGACGCATCCAGGGAGACGGCGTGCGATCGGGGCACACCCGCGGGGTCCACTGCAGCTCGTCTGCCCCTCGCGTCCCTGCTCCGGGGGTGTCTGGGCGTCTTGTGCCTGACGGGTTTGGAATCCCCGGCCGCCGCCGGACTTTCTCAGACTTTCCTTCCTGCTTCGCCACACGGGGCCGTCAGCCATGACACTGCGCCGCGCCCTGCTGGACGGCGCCGTCCTTTATTCCTGCCCTCAGCAACTCCCGCGACCTTCCCTCGACCCCTCCGCTGCCCGTGGGGCCCCCGGCATCTCGCGTCGCTTCCCACTCGGCACCGGCCGCAGGCCCCGCCGTCACACGCCCCAGCCGCCCGCCTCCACCCGTGTCCAGGCTCGGCTGGCGCGTCCGGCATCTTGCGGGCTCCGCGCTCGCCGGTCGGGGGCAGCGCATCGTGTTGCTTTGGCGGACGTCAGCTGCCGACTCACCACCGCCGGCGGGGCCCGGAGTTGTGGGCGCAGGCGCTGCCCGTGTCTGGCGCTGCCCTCCCCGCCGCAGGCCTCCCCTCCGGCCCTGCGCGCCCCAGACACCCCGCGTCCCGCCTCCCGCTGGGCCTGTTGGGACTCAACGCCGCTGGCCCTCCGCGTAGGCAGTGCCGCCTTCTGCGCCGACTGGGCTGGGCCGGGGCCGCAGGGCGGGCGTTACATAACCGGCTGCCGGGCACGACGTCCCCCCTGAACCAGACGCCAGGCCCAGGGAGCCCTCGGCGTGCTGTAGAGGGGGCCTCGGGGACGGCCGGGGGCCCGACACGGGCGAGCTTTCAGGGGCACATCCTGAGCTGCAGGACACTCGGGGTGGGCGGAGAGCCCCACCGCACGCCTGACCACCCAGATGGTGCTGGGGAGTCGGCCGAGAGGCGACACTGGGCTGCAGGAGTGTCGGGTGGCATCTCCAAGACAAGGACGTCACCCCACTTTCTCCAGAGAACCCTGCACCCCACGCCTGGTCAGCTCCCAGTTACTCAGCTGACCGCTCCCCTCACCCAGTGTCCCACGGAGCCCCCACAGCCAGTTCCAGTGACCTGGAGGGCAGACGCCACACTCTCCCCACACACACACCCCCCTACACACTCCCCACACACCACACCCTCCCCCACATACGCACACCACACACACCCCAACACCCCCCCACACCACACCCCCCCACATACACACACCCACAACACCCCCCAACACACACTCCCCACACACACCCTACTCCCCACACACACTCCCCACATACCACACACACCCCACATACGCACCCCCCCAAGCCCCCACACACCACACTCCCCACACCACACACACTCCCCACACACACTCCCCACATGCACCCCCCACCACACACACACTCCACACTCCCCACACACCCCACACTCCCCACACCACACACAGGGGGTTCTGACGGGGCAGAGTAAAGCGTCTATGCTCCAAGTGCTAACTGGGATCCTCTCAGCGAACCCCAAGACGGCAGCCAGGAACCCAGTCTCCTCTCTTCCGTCAGCACTGCCGTTTCTGGGTGACAGAGGCTCAGGGGGCGGCAGCAGGAGATGGTCTGGCTGCAGCGGTGAGGAGGGAGGCGTGTGCTCCCCTGACACTCCCTGACGTGCAGCCCGAGACGCCGCCCAGGGCCAAGGCTGGAGCACACGGGGTCTGGCCGCTGTGCTGGGGCGTGTGGTGTGTTTGTGGTGTGGTGTGGTGTGCGTGTGGGGAGGTGTGTGTTGTGTGTGTGTGGTATAGTGGGGTGTGTGTATGGTGGTGTGGGGTGTGTATGGTGTGCGTGTGGGGTGTGTGTGGGGAGGTGTGAGGTGTGTGTGTATGGTGTGTGTGCCGGGCACACACGTGTCCACAAACGTGAGAGGCCGCTTCGCGGATCCGCCGCTGGAACCCCCCTCCAGCGGGAACACCTACGAGCCCCGCCTGACAGGCTCCGTCCTCAAGGGGCGCCCAACAAAGCTGAGCGGTGGGGACCCGAGGGAGCCCCCCCTCCACCCTGCAGCCATCCCTCCCGGAGCGGCCGTGAGCCCACGCGGCCACAGCGGCCAGGAACCAGGTCCACTTGCTTTTATTAACAAAGGGGACTTTTAATAAAAAGCCGTCACGTGGTTGAAGCGGGACGCGCACACGTCCACGCCAGCAAGCCTCCCTCGCCCGTGCGGGACGCGTGCCCTGGCTGCTCTGGGCGCTCAGCAGCGGGAGGCACCCTCGTATGGCAGCGGCAGAGCCGGCCGGCCGGCGATGTGGCGTGGGCTCGCCCCCCACGCCCCCAGAGCAGTCCAGGGTGGACACAGCGTCCCCGCACACAGGCGACCCCGAGGCCGCTCACGTCAGGCTGGCGTTGCGTGCGGTGCCCCTTCAGGACAAGACGGGCGGCCAGCCGCCCCGGGACACGTGGGCCACCCCGGCGTCCAGGATGAGCAGGCGCCGGCACGCAGGAGCACGGTACTGGGGCCTCTCGCGCCGACCAGCCCGTGCGGAAGAAGCCACAAGGCATAGAGGGACGCCAGCCCCGCCCGGCAGAGGCCTCGGGGCGCCCACGGTGCAGACCTGGGCGGTGGAGCCCGTGGCCGGCAAGTGTCACCTTGCCCCGCAGCCACGTGCGCGGGATCGCCGAGAGCCCCGCCGCCACCCCCCACGTGCCCCATGGCCTCCCCAAGCGCAGCCGGACAGGCAGGGCCACACCGCGCGGCAGGGCTGTTCGGTGGGACGACGCCGAGTTTTAAGAATCTCTTCTGCAGTCTCGAGGCACAAGGCACCCAGAGGGCCGGCGCCGGCAGGGGCCCGCCAAGAAAACCCCAAAACCAGAAACAAGCGCGGAGCCCTGGTCCTGGCAGGTGGAGCACGTGCCCGCGTCTACGCGACGTCCTCCAGGTAATCCGCGACGTCACTGAGCTGGGACACGGTGAGGTCCTGGGTCAGGTCATCCAGCTGCAGCGCCAGGAGAGGGCGAGGGGTTGGCAAAGGCGCGGCCGCAGCGGGCACCGCCCCCACCCCACAGGGCCCAGCCGCCTCGCTTTCTTCCTGGCTTGCGACTGCGCTGAGCAGAGGCGGCCTGGGCAGAGGCCTCGCCCGCGGAGCATGGCTGGAGGGGCCCCGTGGTGCTGTGCGCAGCTCCCACACACAGCCTCAGGAGGACGTGGGCGCTGGGGACCAGCCCCACCCGCAAGGACCCGGAACTAAGGCGTTTCCTGTGCTCACCTGCGCCTGGCCTAGGGGGCATGAGCGTGTCCCTGTCCCCATGGGGCTCGCATGGGGACGCCCACGCGGCTGCATCCACGGCAGCGCAGCAGGGGCTCAGCAGCCTGCGTGGTGGGGGAGGCCGTGGCCCGGAGAGATCCCGGGGCCGTCACCCATACCCCTGCAGCCTTCGGCAGGACATCCCCGTCTCACTGCCCTCCCCTGCAGCCGGGGCCCTGGGCGCCCGCAGCAGGCGGCCCCTACCTTGTCGCTGGTGCTGAGGTCGTCGATGTCCACGGACAGGTCCTCCTCGACCTCCTCGCCGACGCTCGGCTGGCTCCTCTCCGAGCAGTGGCTGGTGCTAGTGCGGAGGTAAGAGCCCAGGCGTCACCCTCTGGACGGTCAGCTCCGCCAGACAGAGGCCACATCGGACACCGCGGCCTTCACCCCCCGCTAATGGACGCCCGGACTAGCAGGGCAGCAGCCGGCCAGCCTGGCAGCCAGAGCGCAAACACCCGTCACCCCAAAAGCCTGTTAATAAAAAATTCCAAATTGGAAAAAAAACCTACCACTCCCTGTAATTTTCAGGTTCTAATTTCAAATTTCCAATCACGGCACAAACGTGACCCCCAGACCACCAGCCACTGCAGCCGCGCGGAGACCACGCCTCGGCCCGCGCTGCCGGGCCCAGTCTCAGCAGGTGTCCCGCACCCGCCACACGCCAGAGGCTACAGCTGCCGCGAGGCCCCGTGACCCACCCCGCTCCCCCTAGCCAAGGACGGGCGCCCCCGCCGCCCCTGCGCCCCCCAGCCCAGCAGCCCCCGCCGCTCACCTGTTGAAGTCGTCGGCATAGTCCTCGTCCTCGGCTGTGCCTGGGGCCACAGAAGAGACACGTGAGTGGGGCTCGTGACCGGCGACACTAAACACCGATTCCTTAAAACCCCCTACCGAGACGCCACGTCGTTGAAAAGGCAGAAACGTCTTTCTACAGAACGTGATCCACAGGGATCACACGGCTGCCAGCGGCAGACCCAAGAAGTGACCATCCCTCGCCCCGCGAGTACCCAGCCCCACGCTCCAGCGCGCCATCTGCTTGGCACTTGCAGGACGAGGGGGCTGTGGTGGCCCTCTGGCTTAGGGGGCACAGCGGGCAGGTCAGGCCCCCCAGGCTGCTCTGGGCCCAAAACTCCCTCCCCAAGTGACATCCGTGACATCCAAGCAGTGGCCCCAGGAGGACAGCAGTCACAGGGTTCCCTGCTCGAGAGGTGGCGGCCGTGAGGGCTGTGGCCAGCCAGCCGCCCATCTTCCCGCCTCCACCCTTGGGCCGAGCCGGGGGCAGGTGTCGTGCCAGAGCTACGGGGTGCGGCCCTGCGCTCCTGCGGGAGGCTGGAGACTGGGCCCACCCTGGCCCCTGCACATCCTCCAGGACAGGGAGTTGCCCAAAGGCAAAGGCTGCCTGACCAGCGAGGGGACGGGCCGCAGAGCAGGCTGCCCAGACATGCCGTGGGGACGGAAGCCGTGAGGCGTCCACCCGAGGGGTACGAGCGTTCCAGTCCTTGACGGGCTGAGTGTCCAGTGTCCCGCTCGGGACCCCCAAGGCTGCCTGTGAAACTGCCCACATGGACTTGAGGCCCAACGGGAGGGGAGCAGAGCCCTTTCTTCCTGCACTGCCTGCCCCCAGGGTTCCCAGCAGGCCCTCCCCAGACCATGTGGACGCCCCATGCAGGGCACAGGGCCGCTGGCAAAGAGCGCGACCCCGGAGGCCAGACTTAGGGCTGGGGGCCCAGGGCAGCAGTGGTTGGTCCGTGGGTCAGCCTGGCGAGACCCCGGGGGCCATGTGGAGGGCGTCTGAGGCACTGCACAACACTCGCGCCAGCCCCTCCCTGGCCCGTCCCCATGCTGACCCGTCCCCATGCTGACCCGTCCCCGCGCTGACCCGCCCCCGTCCTTCCCACGCTGACCCGGCCCCGTGCTGACCCGCCCCCGTCCTGACCCGGCCCCTCCCTGAGCGACACCCCCATCCTCGCTGCCAGGTGCTGGGCCAGCAGGCTGCGGGCTGCACTCGCCCAGGACTCGGCTGAGACACTAGGGGACACATGGGCACCAGGGAGCACCACGCCTGGTCTGAGGGGCCCGGTGGAGGGGGGAGCGGCTTCACTTCCAGCAACCGGCCCGGGCTGGGAACCCCGTTACCTGCTGCAAGGGGCACGCCTTTCTCAGCGGCCGGCTTCGGCTCCCGCGAGGACGTCCTCCGCTTGCCTGTGGCGGGAGAGCATTTGCGTCACGCGCCCCGCCCGAGCCCCCCGTGCCCAGCTGCCGCGGGTGCCCGCGGCTCAGGGACAGCGGGGCCAGGAGAACCTCGCTGTGACTGCGGCTCCGCTCCACGCCCAACGCCCTTTCAGCCGCACACGCCGGCCTCTGCCGCCCCGACCGCCGGAGGGCCTCGCCCGCCTCCAGCCGCGCAGAGCGTGACCTGTGGCCACGGCTCATCTTTCTCATCGACCCTGTCTTTCCTCTGAACTTCAAATTTTGCTTCAGTTCAATCACAGCGACAGCGCCCGGCCCCCGGCAGCCCTGCGCCGACGGCTCTCGGGAGCGCCACGTCCACGCAGCGTCAAGCCCTCCGGGGCACGGCCCCACCGAGGGCATGGCCACTCGACCGGAGAGCCAAGCTGTCTCACGCCGCCCTCCCTGAGCCAGCACATCGCGTGGCTCGGAACCGGCTCCGTCGGCAGACTCCACCGAACTCACACGGCCGGGCCCCGTCAAGACCACCCTCAAGAAAGGGTCTCGGCTGTGCCGCCACCCACCCGCCACCCGCCCCCCCGTCACAAGTGCCCGCTACGGAGCTGTGCACACAGGCCACGCGGGAGGGAGGCGCGGCTGTCGCGCCCTGGGCCTGTCCTCCCTCCAGCGCAGGGGTCAGCGAGCGTCAGGCAGGGACGCAGCGCAAGGCCTGTGGCTGCCCGGCCGCAGGTGCGAGGACAGACGAGGCGAGACTTCCCGACGGGGGAAACGAACTGGCTGGAGGAGGGCGGAGGGTGGCAACGCCACCTGTGCACGGGCACTCGTCATGGCACGGCCGGCCTGAGGTAGACGATGGGCAGGAGGGCATGGAGCCCAGCCCCGTGCAGACTGAGGAGTCCCCTCCGTGTCTGCAGCGGGGCGGTTTTAAAATTAGCGGAATTCAAACCCTACTCGAGACCACCGAAGCGTGCGCGGGGCGGTCTAGGCGTCAAGCGTTAACCCTGAGGGCCGGATAAAAAGGCCCTCTCCCGAGAGCGCCTCCATGGCGCGGGAACGCAGCGCAAGCCAGGAAAGCGCACAGTCAAGGCGCAGGTCCCGCGGGCTCAGGGCCCGGGCAGCACGGGCCCCAGGCCGGGCGCTCAGCACTCACCCTCGGAGTCGTGCAGGGAGAGCGTCCCTGTCAGGGAGCTGAGCCCGCCTCTCAAAGGCGGGGCGTCCGAGAGCGAGGCCAGGCCGCCCGCTTGCTTGCCAGGCTCACTCCTCCTACGCAGAAACACGGGCCAGTTAGAGGGCGCCGGGGGCAGCCAGCTCGGCCAGGGGCCAGCGGGGCCCGGCAAGCACGTCACAGTGGGACGGAGGCGGCCCTCCTGCCCGCCCGGGGCAGACCGCCAGCAGCGCGCTCTTTCACACACATAGAAAGCGTGCGTTCAACTCCAGCCTGACCCCCCACCCGCAGGCCACTCACCACCCGCAGGCCTCCTCGGGTCTGGGGACGGGGTCGTCGAAGAAGGGGTCGGCCTCTGTGTCGCCGCCATCCTGCAGGGAGACCCGGTCCCCACTGCCGAGGCCCCCAATGCTGGGGAGGGGGCCCTTCTCCGTCTCCGGGGCCTTGGGGTGCAGGCCGGACCTGCTCCTGGACTCCGAGGAGAGGCTCGTGTCGCTCTGACTGGCCTCGCTGCCCGCTTTCTGGAAAGCAAGGAGACAAGCTGCCGGGCACCGGCCCCGCAAGACGGCTCGCACAGCGGGGGGCCCCGTGGCCCGTGTGCATCCCCGTGCGGGCAGGAGGGCCCGAGGGTGGAGAGGCCGCGCAGAGGCTGGGATGGCCCACGCCCAGCTCATGGCCCTGGGCAGGGACACAATCGCCGCCGACTGACTGACGGGCCTCGTCCCACCCTGCTCCGCTCCTGACCCCGCGGGGAGCGCCTTGGCCGGGACGGCCCCGCCGCAGACGGCTCCGGGGAGTGTCTTCCGTACAAGCAGGAGTCGTGGGCACCGCAGAGGGCGGCAGGTCACACAGCAGACGACCTGGCTTCCCAGCGGGAGCTCCCCAGGAAGACCCCCCCACCCCGCTGAACCCGAGCCCCAGCACCGCACACAGACCCCCGCGGCGCGGACGTCCCTCTCCGCCACGGGGTCCATGTCTGAAGCCCGCAGCTGCCGCCTCCTTCCCCCAGCCCCGGCCCGCCAGCAGCAGGTCTCCTGGCTCTGCTCCCGCCTCCCCGGCCCAAGCAAGTTCTGTCACCTCTGCAAAAACGGAAAAAGGCGACGCTCCAGCCACCACCGCGGTCCCGGGGCTGAGGAGTCACCATGTCTGACTCCAGCGCCAGCTCTCGACACTTAGCCGGTTCCAGGCCGAGCCTATGAAGCAGCAGCTTCTGGGGTGCACAGACCCGCGGGCAGGGCCAGCTCCGGAGAGGCCCACAGGGCCAGGGCAGGGTGTGTGCGGGGGCGGGGCCGGGGGCTGGAGCGGCGCTCAGCGGAGGGGGCGCAGAGCCGGCAGCAAGGTCAGTGCGGACGTCCTGCCGGGGGAGAGGCCCCAACTACCGGAGCGTGCCTGGGACTGCCCGGCGAGGAAGCGCCTGCAGGAGCCGGGGGGCCGCGTCCCGAGCCCACTCCAGCTCCGGACCCTGACACAGACGCCCGCCGCCATCTCAAGCCGCCCAGGTGCGGGGCCGGGTCCCGGCCGTCGAGGAGCTGACGCAGCGACTGAGGCTTCCTCCAAGCGCGTCCTCCTGGCAGGGAGAGGCCAGGCAGCCAGGCGGCAGGGCGGGCAGCGGCGGCGAGGGCAGCAGGGCTGGGGCCACGGGCCCCTCAGCAGCCCCCACTCGAGTCGGTCACTTGGACGAACAGAATTAGCACCGGGAAGAGGGTCACAGCGACCCGTGGACAGAAAATGGAATCAGCCAAAAACGGCGTGACTAGACTGGCTTAAAAATACGGAAAAAAGAGCATTTCCAAACTAAAAGTTTGATCTGCGCTGCTCAAAAAAACACCGAAGGCAAAGAAACACCCTAGTTTGCAAAAGGACTCCCCATTCAGGGCAGCCCGCCCCGCCAGCGCAGCAGCTTCTGGCCGTGACCATGGACACACGCCGAGGACCCTCTCACTGGGGTACGGCGCACGCGCTTGAGGGCGCCCCAGAGCGCCGGGCCAGGCGGCAAACACCACGGGGCCCTTCCCAGGCCTCCCAGACCGCCCGCCCCCCACCAGCCCGCGGGACAAGCCCAGGCCCCCGCCCGACGCTGGCGGCAGTGGCCTCCGCAGGCCCGCCGGGCTCCAGGGCCCAAGGCTGTGGGGCGGCCCCTGCGGAGGCCCAGACCAAGCAGCCTCGCCTCAGGGCACAGCCGGGAGCCCCCCACGAGGAGAGACGCAGACACGCCCGCCCCGCCCACCGGGCACCTCCCGGGCCAGCAAGGCCAAGCTCGTGCGGGACGCGCAGGGTGACCGGCAGAGAATCGCCTTCGAAGGCTTGAAAACAAAAAACCAGCTCCAGGCAGCTAACACCTGGCAACAGAGGGCGAGGACAAGCCTCTGGGCGACGTCTAAGGGACAAGCGCCCCTCAGCAGGACGCCCCGACAGACACATGAGCGTCCCACGCGGGACCTCCCCACGCGGCGCAGGGGCCGGGCCGAGCCCGCTGACCTGTCGCGACGCAGCCACTGAGCTCCTCGGCCGCGCCTCCGGCGACAGGGACAGTCCAGCAGACACAGGCCGCGCGGGGATGCACAGCTCCATGGGAGCCGCCCTCTATGCACCCCGCCTCTAAGCAGCTGCCGCAAGCGCAGCCTCTGGCTCCAGCCCTGCCGCAGGCTCGGGCGGCACGGGGGCCCCTTGCTCGCACGGCCCTCTGAGGCCCGGCTCCGCCCGCGGCCCCTGGCCCCCGGTCCCACCCCGCAGGCCTGCGGGCCCGCTGGTCAGGGCATGGGGCAGCTCGGGGCTCGAGCAGCGAGGAGCCTGGCCGCCCCGGGCCTGCGGGCATACACTCCACAAGGACCTGCAGCATGACGCCCGCCAAGGCGCCGCAGAGGGGTGGGGGACTAGGTGGGAGACCCCAAGAGGGGCCTGCGGAAACAGCACGGGCTTCTTACAAGGAGCAGGGAGGGAGCCCAAGACTGGGCAGGGGTTTTCTGCCCAGGAAGCCCCCGCCCGGGGCGCGTCTGCACAGGCCTCCCCACAGAGCCCGGCCGCCAGGAGGCCGTGAGGAGGCCGGCGTGCAGCTCGCAAAGCCAGCTCACGGCGCTCATGGGCGCCTTGGTGTCCAGGCACGTCTGTCGCCCTCAGGCAGCCCCTGGTGGGGCTCAGGGGGCCGTCTCGCCCACAGCACTTTCTTCACATCGCCACTGCTGAAGGGATACCTTGGGGACACCGAGGAGCCTGGGAACGCCAGTGCAAAGGCAGGGCCCGGTCGGCCAGGACTGACCGGCTGGAGGAACGGGGCCGATGCCCTTCACCATGGCGCCTCCGGGTCTGTCTGTAGCCAGGGCCACGCGGGCCTGCGGGACCAGGGCCGGGAGGGGAAGGACCGGGCCCAGCGGGTGGTGCAGGCCGGGGGGGGGGGCACACACGCCCCGGAGCACCAGCACCACGTGGCACAGCAGCCCATCCACTGGCGGCCGAGCCCGTCCTCTCGGGAGGGCGCCTGGGCCGGGGCCGAGGGGCAGCGCAGCCCCACGTTCAGGGCTCGCAGGAAGCGAGGGGAACCCGGGCAAGGCTCAGCTTGATGTTCTCGTTGCCTCGCAAGCGCGGCAGATACGCGCTGAGCTCACGCAGGGGGTGCGAGCGTCCCGGCGCGCGGCCAGCAAGGTTGGCACAGCCGGCGAGGCCCCCACCTGCATAACTGAGTCGAGCTGCGTTCTTTCGCGCTGCCACGAGGGCCACGGCCTGTCCAGAGCTACGAGGGACACTTGACACGAGAAGGGGCCGGTAGGACGGCCGGGCCCTGCGAGTTACCTTGGCACCAGGCCGCTGCCCGCTGGTCGTCTTCTTACCTTGTCCTGTGTACCTGGGTATCTGAGCACGAGAGCGAGACAGCATTTCACCACAGTGTCAGCTGGAAGGTAAACTGAGTCACGGCACGCGCGCGAGGTGGGCTCCGATCGGAGGCCCTCTGACCGCACGCCCTCGGGGCGCCCACGGGGGCCTGTCTCTCCCTGGCCCCTGTGCTACCGCCCCCGGCCCTGGCGGATGACCACGTGCAGCAGTGACGCCAGGAGTCCAGGCTGTGCTCGCCTGCTCAGCTCCCACGCTGGCCGCCGTCCCGCCCGGGACAGCAAGAGAAGGGCCGCCGGCCTGGCCTCCACGGGGGCGAGCTGGACGCTTATGGGGCCGCAGCTCCCAGAGTCCCTACAGCAGCTCCCATGGCCCCGAGGGCGCGTCCTCCCGGGCCCCCATCATCGGAAGGCTGGCAAGGAGGGCGGAGGGCGGGCGCCACGGGAGCCCCAAACCCAGCCCCCGGGTCCGGGGGCTGCATCTTCATGGCCCGGAGCAGACGCGCCAGCCTGCGCCTGAGCCCCAAGGTCAGCGTTGCCCCAGGGCACCCAGCAACTCTCCCGAGGACGGGGGCTCCCCATGCTCACTCCTTGTTTTTGATTTGCGGAACCCTTGCCGGCAGCAGGGGAACGAACCAGGGCTGCAGAGGCTGCGGGCAGCCCTGCAGCCCAGCGCTCAACCACCAGGGGAGGCCCCCATGCTCACTCGTCATGCGGACCAAGCACGCTCCTGCAGCACCACGTCGGGCCAGCGCTGAGAGGACGACCGCAGGGCAGCGTCCCGGCCCACCTGTGGGCGAGCGCTTGGGGCGAGCGCGACCGGGCCTCGGAGGGCAGGTGCTCGGGGAGCAAACGCTGCCTGCTGGCCGGGAGCTCAGCCCTCATCCGCGCGGGGCTGGCCAGCCCCAGGAAAAGCAAGGCCGGCGCCAGGAACACCTTCCTGGGCCCCCTGAGAAGGGCCCCGAGCTCAGAGAACGGGACCGGGGATAGCAGAGGGTCCCCCAGCTTAGAAACTCAGCCCAAAATCACTCCAGAGCCTCAGTCTGCGGAGAAGCACAACGTCAGGGCCAGGCCACGTCCCCTCTGCCCAGACGCAGGCCGCAAGGGCGCCCTCCAGACGCACCCTCTCGGGACACAGCCAGGCTCTGGAGGAGGACCCCTGGGGGCTGCGTCGCTCGCCACAGAAGGAAAGTGGAGCGCAGCCGCCAGCTGACCCCGCAGCCCGGCTGCTGCCCATAGAGGCCATACCTGCAGCGAGAACCCCGCCATGCCACCCTGCAGCACTTGACTGCAGCCCCACGCCACACACGCACCCCCCACACACACACCCTCACGCATACCCCACACACTCCTCACACAACCTCCCCCACACACAACCCCTCACAAACCCCCTCCCACGCACACCCCTCACAAACCCCCCTCACACACCCACCACACACAAACACCCCCTCCCACAACCCCCTCCCACACACACCCGTGAGCAGACCACAGGCTCTTGAAACCCCACCGAAGCAGCTCTCTGCTGGAAGAAGCCGTCCTGACGCACGTTCCCGAATCTGGTCCTGCCCGCGGCGCTCAGCACGGCTCTTTCCCAGTCTCCAAACACCCCTCCTGGGCCAGGCGCTCGCGAAGGAGGACGAGCCGCCTCCTGAGCCAGGGGCCCCACGACTGCGTGGGGAGCATCGTCCTCCTGGCACGAAGCCCAAACCGCTCCCAGCAAAGCCAAAGGGGTTAAAGCCACGCTGGGCCCCAAACGAACGCGTTCCGCACACTCGGGTTTCTCCGGGGAGAAGCAGGACCTTCCCACGGCGCTCACCTTGCTGGGGCTGCTGTGGGAGCCTGCTCTTCCCTCCGGCGACCTGGGCGGAGAATGGGGGTCGGACAGGTCCAGGGCGCCCTGAAACACACACGGGCGACGTGAGCACCCTCGAGGGTGCACCGGGGAGGCGGGGGAGGGGCCCGACGCTGCTCACACGCGCCCCTCTTTCTCCCTGTTGCCGTCGATCAATTCCTTCATCAGGTTTCTCCCAAATCCCAGCCAAAAAAAAAAAACCCTAAAAAACCCACGAAGCAAAACACAGAGACCTCAACCACCCGCTCGGGGTTCCCCCGTCGCCTGACCCGGCCCTCACGGCACCCCGGGCCTCACGGCACCCCCGGCGCCCCCAGGCCTAGTCCGCGTGTCCCTGGCTGCTGGGGCAACCTGAGCAGCGGCTGCGCCGGGGCAGATGCTCCCTGGTGGGGAGGCCAGCCCCGCTCCTCCTCGAGTCACCCACCGGGACCTCCCGCTCCAACACCGTGTGAGGAGGGGGTGTTCGCGCCCCTCAGCCCACACCCGAGCCCGAAACCTCCATCTCCTGGAAGCTCGTCCTTCCCCTGCGGCCACCAGAGCCGCCTGCACCTCCCTGGCCAGGCCTCACCGCCCTGCGCCGCCCGCCACAGGGCCACTCCCAGCCTCCTCGCCCTCGAGGCCTCGCCCTCACAGACTGCCTTCCGGCGCTGACCGGGCTGGGCTGGCCACACCAGGGCCGCTCTCCAGGAGGGGCTCCTGCCCCCTGCCTGTTCCGTGACGGCTGCAAAAGCAGCTGCTGTGCAGGCCCCACCCCGCCGCTGCCTGCCGCCAGCCCCCGCGCTGGGCTGGAGTTCCGAAGCCTCCACACGCACTGCCCCCGCCCCCCCCACCCCCAGGCCTCCTCATAGGCATCCGGGAGGGATTACGGCCCCTCAGCTTGTCCTAGTTGCAGGGCCGCCACCGAAACGCCTGCAGGCGACCTGCTCCTGTGGGCCCCGCCTTCCAGGACTGACCCGCGTCCAGCGCAGGTGGCAGCGCCCGCCGGGGCCACAGACTGACCGTCAGACCACCCGGGAGCAGACAGGGCGGCTGTGGGTCCGTCCATCCGAGGTCAGCGTCTGCGAGGGCGGCCCCCGTCCAGACAGAAGCCAGATGCCCCGCGGCCCCGCGCAGAGGCACGGATGGGCCAGACCAACGGCACAAAGCTGGAGGCCGTCCATGAAGCTGTCAGAGTCCCGCCTCCGGCATCTGCACAGCCAGGAGGGCAGCAGTGGCTGTGCAGCACCCACGGCGCCCAAGTCCCTGTCCCACAGGCAGGAGGCAGGACAGGTGCTGAGCCTCATCGCGCCCCCTCGACCTGCAGTCCCGCGTGGCGTGCGCAGCTTCATTGCCACAGAGAAGCCAGTGTCCGCTAGGCCCCTCTTACCTCCCCGCCGCTCGGGCCCCGCTCCTTCTGCTGGCAGCGCCGGATCACCTCCAGCAGCAGGGGGCCGCCCACGGTGCCCTCCGCCTCGATGATGCCCAGGTCCCGGGCCAGGTTCTCCCGCCCTTCAAGGCCATGGAGCTGAGGCGAGAGGAAGTCGGTAAACGCGTGGCATAGCAGGCCACTCCTGAGACACGACCCCCTTTCTGGGGATACCTCGCCCCACCCGCACGCACCGGCCCCCAGGCGCAGTCTAGGGAACACCCCGGGACTGCGCAGGCCTCCGCGGCAGGGACGCTGTGCCAGAGGCCCGAGGGCTCAGTGCTGGTCACGCCACGGGTAGCCCACGCTGTCCGGCCTGCTCATGCTCAGCTTCAGGGAGTGGTTTGGACCAGGAGCTTCAAGGGGCAAAGGTGAGAATCGTTCTTCTTACCGTGCTGGTTTCCGGCTGAAAAACCGCCAAGGTGAAGTCAAGGTTGAAAAACTGAAGAAACTCCGCGACGAGGCTGGCCACCAGCCGGCCTGCAGAGACAGGAGGGTCAGCGCCCGCGGCCCGCAAGACGGGGCATCGCGAACTGAACCGGGCCCATGGGCTTCGAGCCTCAGGTTTCTCCTCTCGGAACCGCACCCCCCGGGTCCTGGGGACCCGCGTGTCGGGAACAGGGCGGAGGTGGCCCTCACGGTGAGACCAGCTGTAATGACTCCCCCCAGCAGCTACATGGGACAGCAGCTTAACAGCTGTCAGGGAAAACGCAACTTTCAAAAGAGGACCTGTGCGCCTCGGAGCCTCCAAAACATAACCCGCACCCCACACAGGCGGGGCTGCAGACGCAGACGGACAAAAGCCAGCTGAGCGTGGGCTCACCATCTTTCGTCGTCAGAAACTTTTTCAGGCTCTCGTTGACTAAAGGGGTTTTGTTCTGTGGAGAGAGGAGACATGGCCAGTGTCAGGAGAAAACAGTCAGTGCCGGCCAGTCCGACCCGTGGGCAGGACGGGAACAAAACACACCACGCGGGGGCGGCCACGTGGGGACGTCGGGAACCGCCACACCAAGCGCGCAGGAGGATGCTGGGTCGGGCCGGCAGGTGTGTCACCAAAGGGCAGGGAGAGGAGGGACAGGCTTGCCAGGAGCGAGCCTTTGGGGGCCACTGCTGCTTGCACAGGGGACGGTCAGTCAGGTGAAGCGCCGTGTGGCCACCGGCGGGCGGGAGGCCGCTGCCTTCTGTTTATTTTTGAACCTTGGAAAGGACTGCGCTAGAAGCTGCCCCGCCGCGGGGCCTCTCAAGTGTCTCTATTTATAACCCCACTGCTCACTGCCTGGGGGCAGGAGCCCGCAGCCCCACGCCGCTCCCCCTCCGGCCCCATCACGCGGCGCCGGCCCCCACGGGGCGCAGAGCCAACGCCTTGCCTCGTGACCGTCACCCGACAGACAACACCATGAGCCCAGGAGCGCCACTAAACAGGCCCGTGAGCTGACGGCGGGACACGGCGCCGGAGAGCAACCCGCAGGCGCCCTGGAGTGCTCCGGAGACCCGCCCGCCAGCTCCAGCGTGGCTCCCTCCCCAGAGCCGCCCCACACATCTTCCCGAGGAGGAAAGCGCCCGCCAGCAAGCCGGCCCTTGAGGCTCCCAGCAGCCCGTCATGGGCCTCGCGGGGCCGCCGCGGGGTGGGTGGCGGGAGCCGGTCCCAGCGAGCAGGGCGCAAGGCTGCATGGGTGCCAGGAGCGCTCCCTGCTGACTCCGGAGTGCCCTGGACCTGCGGGCCACCCTCGCAGGCCACGGTTCTGTGCTGGAGAGTGTTCAACGTACCAAAGGGCACCTATAAAGAACTTAAAGCAGGTCTGTTACACCCCAGTAGGACTCTCCAGAGAGCCCCCAAAGTCGAGGTGGGGGAGAGCTCACGAAGGCTGGTCTAAGGGGTTGGCAGAAGCCACGTCGACTGAAACGTTTGAAAAAAAGAAGAAAACAGACGAGATGAGAAGACCCAGCAGGGCCAGCCTGGCGCAGGGGCAGAAAGGGCTGCGGGAAGACGGCAGGGACCCCGCGAAGGGGACTGGGCTGGAGGAAGGGCAGGACGTGGGCAGGACGTGGGAGGTGGCCAAGCGCCGGCTTCAGGGAGGGCCGGGGCAGCTACAGAAGGGCTGGGCCGGGGAAGGAGGCGGTGCGGGTCCCGGCACCCCTTGGCTCTCCAGCCGGGGAAAACGCAGCCCCGGAGGACAGTCGGGGGCCGGCAGGTGGGGGGACCGCAGGGCCGCAGGGCTGTCTGCGGGGGTGACAAGGACCAGAGACCCAGGGCTGCAGCCACAGGCATGGTCGAGGCCCCCGGGGAGGGCAGAGAACCCGGAGACAGCGCCCCCGTGCTTCCGTGAGCCGCCCAAAAATGACAGAAAGGGTCCCAAAAGCCGGCGATTTTCAAGTGGGAAAGAGAAGGAGAGAGAAGTGGCACAGCAAGGCCGCGAGCCGGGCGTCGGGCCACAGGACCGGGCATAGTGGCCGCGATGGGGCGTGGATGAAGGGGGGCCAGGACCCCAGAAACCCGGGAGACAGGCGCCTTTCCTCCGGGCCCTGGCCTGGGTGAGGGGCTGGGGGTCGGTGCCGCAGGCTCCCCTGGGGGCCTCGGGGTCCAGGCCTCCGGGTCCAGGCGTGCCCGCCGAGGCCCCAGGTCCTGCGCCGTGCTGGGGGGGGGGGCAGCGCGCCCAGGCCGCGGCCCGACCCTGCCCGCGCCCGAGGGCCGGTGGGGGGGGCGGGGGGCGGGACGGTCGGGTCCGGTGCGGTCCGGCCGCCGCCCGGGTCCTACCTCCACTTTTTCTTGCTCCTCCAGCGCCAGGAACACCGCCGCGCGGAGCTCGGCCTGCGGGGTGGGGGGGGGCAGAGGGGCTCAGGCCGCGTCACAGGGGGGCGGGGGGGCAGGGGGGGCGGCTGGGGGGCGCCTGCACGCGGGGGTAGCAGGGGGCGGCTTGGGGGCGGGGGCCGCTTGGGGGGCGGCTTGGGGGGCGGCTTGGGGGGCGGGGCCGCCTGCGCGCGGCCGGGCCGGGGGGCGCGGGCCCCGGCGGACGGTCGGGTCCGGGCCCCGCGCGTCCCCCCCCCGGGCAGGGCCGCCGCCGGGCCCCGCTGGGCCGCCCGCCCGCCGCCCGCACCTTGATGCGGGCCAGGACGCCGTTGCTCTCCAGCGTCTGCACCAGCAGGTCCCGCAGCTCCGTGTCCTCCTCGGCCGCCGCGGGCGCCGCCGCCGCCATCTTGTTTCTCCAGGACAACCGCCCAAGCCGCGCCGGCGCGCGCCGCGCCGGCCCCGCCCCCCGCGCCCCTGCGCGCCTGCGCGCCCCGCCCACGCTGGAGGCGGGGCGTGCGCCGGGGCGGGGCCGTGCCGGGCCGGGGCTTCGGGGGCGGGCCTGGGGGCGGGGCGGGCCTCGAGGGCGGGGCCTGGGGGCGGGGCGGGCCTCGAGGGCGGGGCCTGGGGCGGGGCGGGCCTCGAGGGCGGGGCCTGGGGCGGGGCGGGCCTCGAGGCCCGGGAGGGCAGGAGCGGGACCCCGGCCCCCGCCCCCGCCCCCCGCCCCGGGTGTTGGTGGAACCGCCCGGCCTGTCCCCTCTCTCCCCCCGCGCCGCACGCTCGTGGCCCGCAGCCCTCGCGGGGTCGCCCCGGCGGGACCTTTGGTCTTTGCGGGCGCAGGGCGGCCCGAGGAGCAGACAGGCCCGCGTCCCCAGGCGCCCCCACGCCGGCCCTCCCGCCCTCCCGCTCCTCCCAGGCCGCCTGGCTGCGGCCACTGCGTCCGTCGGGGGGGAGGCTGTGCTGGCCTCCGAGGCGGCCCGGGGTCCGTGGGGCTTTGTGTCCGGAAAGGTGCCCCTGCCCGTCCTGTCCACGCCCGCCGGCCCAAGCCCCCCGCCGTGCCAGCCCTGCCAGCCCTGCCAGCCCTGCCAGCGAGCTTCCCGTGCCCGCCCGCGCCCAGTGCACCTGCGGCCCAGTGCCCGCCCCGGGCTCCCCTCCAGAGCTTCTGATGAGCCCCTCAGCAGCTCCAGGTGGAGCCCAGCCCCCCAGGCTTCCTCCTGCTTTCCACCCTAAATAACTGAGTAACTTAAGATGAAAATGACCCCTCCCGCTCCCTCTTTACGCCGCTTGTGTGACCCCCCAGGGGACGCTGAAGCAGGAACGGGCCTCCCCGCGGAGCCAGCCCCTGCGTGGGTGAAGAACAGAACCAGGATCATTATCCGAATTGGGGTGCCAATCCCGAGGGAGGCGCTGGCATGACGTATACGTTGTGCTCTCCTGCTGCAGAAGTAAAGGGTGCAATTTTCAAAATTCTTGTGCCTTTTTTGGGGGGGATCCTTGCCAGTGGCCGGGGATCGAGCTGGCGCTGCAGAGGCTGCGGGCAGCCCCACAACCCAGCGCGCCACCGCTGCGCCACTGGGGAGGCCCTAAATTCTCGTGATGTTAAGTATTTCCAAACAGGAGCTGCGTGAGGAGGCTGTCACGGGCACTCCTTGGCCCGCCTGGCCACGCCCAAGCCCCAGGTTGCAGCCTCCGCCTCCCAAGGCTGCCCCGGCTTCTGATCCCGTTGGGGCAGGGTCAACCCTCACCCGCCTCAGCCCACCTGGCCAGGCCCTGCCCCGGGCCGCCCCTCTCAGGAGGCGTCTACTTGACCCCTCTCACAGCTGCAGCCCCTCAGCCCCTGACTGCCCAGGGGGCACGCGCACGTGTAGCCCCCAGGCAGGCCAGGCCATGGCACCCCAGAGCTGGGTGGACGGGTGTGGGGGACGAGCTCTTTCCTTATTGCCTAAGGGACCGGCATGCTTTGCTCCACACTGGTTCCTTCTGGAAGCTGGAGGTCCGCAGGTGAGCCCACTCCCACATCAGGGCGTCCACCTGTTTACCTCAGTCCTCCCGGGGCCGTGCGCGCCTCCCTGCCCCGTTGGCTGGTGACTGGCCTGCGCAGCGGAGCCCTGGATAGGAGCAGGGCCAAGCCCCAAGGAAAGGCCCGCCCGCCCCTATAGCCCGTGTGCACAGTGGACGCTGCAGAGCTGGCCTTGGTGAGGGCCCGGGGGGGGGGCCCTGCACCCCGCTGAGGACCCCAGGGGGGCAAGAGTCGCTCTCCACTCCCAAGGGCGGGGCTGGCAGGGGGGCGGGGTTGGCAGGGAGGGCACGCTCGGCCTTGACCGGCTGCAGGTGTGGGCCTGCTGCTCCGGGCCACACCTGAGGCGCATGCTCGGGTCTCGTGCCTCACGCGGACGCTGCGTCCAGGCTCAGCCGCTCAGCGCGCAGCTCCTGGCCACGTGGTGCAAAGGCGTATCAGCGCGGCGTGGCCAGTGCCCGTGGCCCTGGGTGGAGAGGACGCTGCTGGCTGGGGCGGACGCCAGGGCCGGCTGCCTTGCGGCTTCTTTCCTTGGGGAGCAGGAGGCTCTGCCCCCTGCAGCACCCCTTCCCTACCTGCTTCCCCTTGTCCTGCTCCCTCTTCCTCGCCTGCCCCCCTTCCACGCCTGCCCCCCTAGCCACGCTCCCCCTAGCCCCACTCCCCCTTCCATGCCTGTTCCCCCCACCCAGGCTGCACCCCTCTGCTCTCCTGCAAGCTGAAGACCCCAGGTAAGCTGCTTTCTGGGGCGGGGGTGGGGGATCTACCTGTTGGCCCGCCTTAGCCTTCAGGGGCTCTGCTCACCTGCTGGGGCTGCTTTGCCTGCACAGAGCCCCCTCTTGGCTCGGGGACTTGGGCCCCAGAGGCTGGGGCTGGAGGCAGGGGCGCCTTTGGGCTGACCCTGGAGCTCGAGCAGCCGCCTGGCTCGCCCCTAGTGTCCAGCGCCTCAGCCGGTGGATTCCTGCTGGGGGCGGGGAGCAGAGGGCGCTGCAGGAAGCAGGCTTTGGGGTGTTGGGCTATGCTTTCTGGGTCGGCCCTTGGGCGCGGGGGCCGGGCGCTGAGTCCCTGCTCGTAAGGGGGTCTGCCGCAGCGGCTCCCGCCAGGCTGCTCTGTGGGCTGGGGATGCTCTGGGGGTCGGGGGAGTTTGAGACGCTCCTTGCGGGGGACCAGATGCTTGTGGACGGTGCAGACCTGCCCGGCGGTCGCGGTGGTGGGGTGACGAGGCCACTGGGGTGTCAGGGCCTCGGAGAGGGAGGAGACATTCTCCCGGGATCCACGCAGAAAGCCCCTCAGCCTAAGCCAAGCCATGGCGATTGGTGGAGGGTTCTAGAACCTGTCTTGGGTCTGGCTCCTGGCCCGGCCTCCTGGCGTGGGGCCTGAGGTTAACTCACCCCAGCTGGCTGGTCCCTGAGGGGTGCTGGGGGCTTGTTGACGGCCTGGGCCTTAATTAGGGTTCGTGGCCGGCAGCTGCAGGGAATTAAGGGCAGCCCAGGCCTGGCCCAGGACCTTGCGGCCCCCGGGCTGCGTGTCCCAGGTTCAAGGGGCGCCTGGGGCTCCGCACCCACAGGTCCTGGAGCCGGTGCGAGAGCGGCTTCCCGCCTGCCCTGGGAGCCCTTGGCTGCCCTGCGGGGGCCGACGATGCTGCACAATAAAGCTCTTTACACCGTGTGCGTGTGGTTCTGGTGGTTCTGGCGGCTCGGAGCTCCCGGGCAGCGGGACGGGGCCTGTTCACAGCCCCCCAGAAGCTGCGAGACCTTCTCGCGTCCTCGGTGCTGTGGCAACAGGTAGGCATCTCTATTTCTTTGCTGAGAAATTTTGGCTAATGTTGCAAGATGCATTTCAGTATTTTCTCCCGAGAATGATTTTATTTGGTTTCGGCTGTTTCTGGATAAAGTCACGCAGCGTCCGGTGGACCGTGCCTCGCCGCGGCTGGCGTCCGAGCGGGAGCGGGTCCACGGGTGTTCTGCGTTCTGGGCTGTCCTGAGACACTGGACGGGTTGGGTTTAAGGGCATGAGCTGGACAGCGCGAGCAGCGTCTGACGAGTGGGCTGTTTCCGAGCGTGAAGCAGGAGGGCGGGCGCTGCGGTGAACAGGACGCCGAGAGCGAGGGGCCTGACGGCAGGTTCACGGCCACGGGTGCCAGAGTCGGTCCTCGCGCCGGGCCCGGCGTCCTTCCTGGCTGTGGGCAGGGGCCGTGCACGCGGCACGGAGGGTGTTGGGTCGAGGCTGGGCGCCTCCCGCGCCGGCCGCCTGGTCTGGCCGGCTGAGCCCTCCCGGGCGCTGCGGGATCCCGCTGCTGAGGCAGCCGCTGTCCCCGGTCTGGTCCCCGCCAGCAGCCGCGAGGCTCCTGGGGCGCAGATGAGTCCCAGAGCAGAACTGGGGTCCAAGGTGGGGCTCAGCTTCGTGTAACGGGATGTCAGCGCCTCACCCGTAGCCCCTCTGTGCGCATCTGGGGTCTAATCCTGAGCCCCTCGGCCTGCCGGGCAGGTCAGATGAGGGGCTGCGGCGTCTGCTCGCGGCTGCTGCCTGCGGGGCCCGTGCCTGGGCGTGGCCAGTGGCCGGCGAGGTCCTGTGTACAGGACCGGCGGGAGCCTGGGAGCTGTGTGCTGGGGGGGGGGGGGGGCTGGCGGACGGCCATGCGGGGAGCAGGCTGAGGAGGAGGGTGGCTTGGAGGAGAGCGGGGAGCTGGCGAGTGAACGGGGGGGGGGGGGGCCCTGGGTGCTGGTCCCTGCAGGGCGCAGCCCAGAGCTGCTGGACGAGTGACTTCAGGAAGAGCCAGAACCCCAGGGCTCAGTGCGCCCCTGAGAACTGCTTTGGGGTTACTGTGGCTGAGGCTGCTCGCTCAGACTGGCGGACAGGGCAAGGCGCTGCGGTCTCGGCCTCCGGGTCACTGGGGACTTCGCCGGCCCAGCTCTCCTGGCAGAGGAGACCCCGTCCCAAGGTGGGGCGCGCGGGTGGCGGCGTTCAAGGCGGGGTGCTGTGGTGCGCGCCGAGGGTGGCTGGCTGGGCAGTGCGGCTGCCCCGGTACGGCAGACGGGCTGGCTGTGTGTGCGGTGGGACGCCCTCCCGTGTGTCGGGGTGCAGGCCGGGGCACCCCCGGTGCTCAGGGCTGGGGTGCTGGCCGCAGCCCCCGCTCGGTGGTCAGCAGGTGCGCAGGGCGGGGCGCGGCCTCTGCTGCTGCTGCTCCAGGGGCCTGAAAGCCACCGCGGCCCAGACAGGAGTGGCAGGCAGTGCCACGGGCCCGCCAGGCGGGAGGCTGGGCAGGGAGGCTGGCGCCTGCACTTCAGGCGGCTGCTCCCCGGGACGGTGGAGGAGGATGGCAGGGTGGGGGGGGGGGGCTGTGTGGGGCTCTGCAGCCCAGGGGCGTGGGCCAGGGGCGTGTTAAGACCTCAACAGCAGA